TTCAAAGGGCCCCAGTACAAGAAGTTTGACGATCTTGCTGATGCTGAGGAATTCTTGGGATATGACCTGGCTAAAAAATTGAAGGTGAGATCATCGTGGTGAAAGAATAACAATTTTCCTATTTTTGATAATACAGTATCTTAACATTCCACTCTTAAAATTGAGCGTCAATCAAACTAACAGTACAGTATTCTCTATCGAACAGTATTACACAAAATGTTTGGCCTCACAAAGCGGCTCACTTGTAAAAATGTGTTTATTTTTCTTGTCAAACGGCTGACATTTTTCTGGTAACTGTTTCAGTCTATAACCCAGTGGGTTTGAAAAGAAAACCTATCAAGTTCTTCAGAATTTCTACATATTTACTCCATTTGAAGAAAGCTTAACTACTGTTAAATGCCTCTCAATCCAGTCGTTTATTTTTTAAAAACATTTATTCGCCCTCATTTACCCATAACCTATACATAAATTAAACGTTGTACATTTTGTTTTATACTGTATAGCTCACATTCTCTAAATATTTCAATTTGGCTTGTATTTGTTTATTGGCGAGTTTTACAATTCAATGATGATGATGTAGTCATATGGTTATGACTACCATTAAAGAAACACTGCAGTGCGCTCACTCTATAACTCTAAATTTAGGTTAAAGAATGCAGAAACTGATTAAAATCTTTGAGTGACCTTATTTTTCAAGAGGCAAGGATATTAATTTGGAATATCAACTGAAGTGGATCTTCTGGTTAGTGATGAAAAGGTTGTGTTTTTTTCAGCCACTTCAGATAACAATGACCTGACCTGACTTATTGTTTTTGTTTTTTCCTTTATTCTACTGAATGTTCGTGTATTTCCGGACATAACACGGGTCCAGAAAAAGATTGACCCTGTAGGTGGCAAAGAAATTAATTTGGAATATCAACTGAAGTGGATCTTCTGGTTAGTGATGAAAAGGTTGTGTTTATTTCAACCACTTCAGATAACGATGACCTGACTTATTTTTTTCCTTTATTCTTCTGAATGTTCGTGTATTTCGGGACATAGCACGGGTCCAGAAATAGATTGACCCTGCATGCATGGCTGTTTTCGTTCCAGCAGAACCATAGCAGATGAAATCTTCATATACAGTACTCACTTTCCCTTCAGAAAGAAATTGCTGCCTTGAAACAAGAGTCCAACAACGGTGACAAGTCATCATCGTCCTCGTCCAAGCGCAAACACGCAGACGACGACTCTGACCAGGACTCGAGCGGAAGCAGCAGCAGCAACAACAGCAGCAAAAATAGTAGCCCTAGCAGCAGCACCGGTGCTGGCGAAGAAACCAAGAACAAGAGCAAGAAAAAGCAGAAGGGATCAGGTAAAGGAGGAGGAGACGAGCAACAGGATGAGGAACGGGAGAATAAGTTCCACTTACTTTCCGACGACCTGATCATTCGGGCGAAGAATGTCGACAGAGCCGCTGTCGACTTGACGACGGACGCCGACGGCAGTGTCGTGTGCTACACCGACGGCGCGTGTTTCATGATGGGCAAGAAGGGTCAAGTTGCCGGCGTGGGCGTGTATTTCGGACCCGACAACAAATTGTACGTCTCTTTTTTTTTTACCATTTGTTTTATTCTTTTCCTCCTTTCTTTGTCTATATACCTGTACTGTATGTATCCCATGCCCAAGCCGTAAAATGCATTTCCTCTTTATTTCCGTCATGCACCGCAGTCAGTAAATTTCAAGTCCGAGTTCATGCATGTCGCATAAATTGATTTTCCCTAAACTGGGTTCGAAAACGTTGAGATTGCTTTGGTCAGCATGAATTGGTGCTCGTCATGAGATTGAAGCGACACCTACCGAGCGTTCGACACTTTAATGCGCAAGGAAAATAAAAGAAAATGACTCACTCCGAATCATACAATTTAATAGTGTGACCTTGCAAATTTTCAACAACTTTACCCAGATCAGCATGTATCCAAAACCAGGTTTAGAGTTAAACGAACCTTTTTTTTAAAACTTCATTGGGCGGTTTTTCAATGCGTAATATACTTGTATTCTCTATATAAGCCGTGTTCTTGCGAGATAAAAAGGAAAGAAATCGGCACTATTTATTCAGAAATGAGCTCATGAAGCTGACTTTTCATTGCTTTAGAAATTTGAGCATTTTGAATTTGAAACGTGACTTTTTTTTGCGGGACATCCTTTCGAATCCGAATGGGAAAAACGAGACTTTATTTCTGTATCCACTGTGAAACATGGCTTGTTCGCAACCACATAATGCGTAAAAATCGCCAATTTTCTTTCATTTCAACGTGTCTGATCCAGATACGAATTTTGTGCAATCTCTGATCCATCAGCTGTTGTTGATTGCTTGCTGATTATCGTTTTCAGCAACATCGCCGAGCCTGTGAAGGATGGCAAACCGCACACGAACAACCGATCCAAGATCCTGTCAGTCGCCTACGCAGTCGAGTTCCTCAAGGCTGCGGGTAAAAAAAAATTTAAAAAATGAATGAACTAATCTCAAAAGTGCCGAACTTTTTATTTTTTTATTTTTGAATTAAGTATTCCAAGAGACAAAATTAACACTGCAAAAATACAGAACACGAGGTAAACGGTACAGCAATGAATAAATACTGAAACACTATAAATAACAATATGAAGACGGCCAAATTTATAGACTTCTGTCCTGTTTTTTTTATCTAATATGGTAGACTTGTAAGTGCATTTCCCTCCGCAAAAATTTACTTGAAACCTGCTCTTCGTAACATTTATTTTTTATTTTTGAAGTTGAAGAAACGCAAGCAGGAATCTTTTTCGAAAATTAAATGGAATAAAAATGGAATAATTCTAAAGCGACTCACTCACTCACGTACGAATCGCTCGAACTAATTCATTTTTTCCCGGATAAAAGAGATTTGCTTCAGAGTGGATAATTATAGTGGCTCCAAACTCTACGGAAATCTAAAATTCATTTTGCAATACTTATTTTGAAGGTATTAAGAAAGCAGTTATTCACGTTGATTCGGAATTTACGCTCAACTGTGTGGACAAGTGGAGACCCAACTGGAAGAAGAAGGACTGGAAAACTGCTGCGGGTGTCGATGTCAAGAACAAGGAAGAACTCAAGCTCTTGGACAAAGTTTCGACCATCGAAATAAATTACGTGAGTTCGCAGAATTTCATAGATTCAGTTTTCCGCATAGGTGTAATGGGATTTCAATTTTCCAGTCTATGGCTGCTGACACAAACGAGCCTTCGGGGTATTCTGAAGCCACGCGGCTTTCGAAGGAAGGAGCCAAGAAAACTCACGACTGAATCGATTCAGTCAAATAACCGTTCGACGGAACTTTTCTTCTCTTCATTTGTACTCGAATTTAATTTGAGATGAGAAAAATGCATCAGCTTCAGAAACGAAGGCGCTTTCGTTTTAGAATTTGCGTTACTTCATTTATTTGATTGAGCATATTTATAAGAAAAATGTTTTTAAAAAAATCCCCAATACTGCACTTCATCATTTGCATAACGTCTGATGATAAGTTAGGGGGACAAACTTGGCTGAAAATGGTCTCTGCTACGTTTGAGAAGCCCAGATACGCAATTCAACCGGACATTTTGGCACCTATTTTTTGAAATTTCGTGCTTTACGAGCATGCGAATATAGTGTGTCATACAAAGTACAGGGATCTTCAAGTCTTCAACTCAGCGTTTTCGATGGCTGAAGAAAAGCAAATATTCGTATAAAAATCCTGATGTAGAATTTGTCACCTCGAAGAATTATCAAGTGTACGGAGTTTCAGTATCAGCACCAAGGCAATCTGAATCGGTGGAAACAGAATTACAAGATTTGTACCATGAGAGCTTGATGGCATTTGATCTCGGACATTTCAAGACAAAAAAGTTGTGACAAAGACAGTTCAAGGCATAGAAAATTTGACACAACTTGATTATTGCGTGAAGAATTCAAAGCCAGGTTCAATTTGAGTCTGAAACATTTGGAGATCACTTTTCAGTACCATTTTCTCGTTAAAAATTTGCGACAGAAGTAATTGAAATAATTTAAATCATTAGAAATCCTTTTCATCAAACCCTTCTGGATCCATGAACTTCAGCATTATTGCTTTAGCAGTTTTCCAATGATTGTCAAACTGATTCTTTTTTTCAATCATCATCGCTTAAGCTGAGTTTCCCACTTGTATAGAGAACAGCTCTTATTTCAGAACCAACCCAGGCAGGTTCCTTTATTCATTCAATCAGCCTTTCTGCTTGTCTTTTTGTGAAATAAACATACTGTATCTTGATGGTGCAAACGAATACCCCCGTAATCCATGGAAATAGACCCTCAACCGTAAGTTTTTTGGGTCCAACCTTGTCTCAAAATTTCCCTGTCTATACTTTGCTGTCCCTAAATTTTCCCTGTCTTAAATTATCTCGGTTTCTAACTGACAGCCTAAATTTGTCATTATCCCGATAACGTCACAAAAATAAAAATTATTTTGCAAAAGCGTTTCTTAGTACAAGAACGTTCCATTTCTCCCTCTCGCAGACAAAAAATTGTGACAAATTGGCGGACAAAAAAAAAAAGGACGGGCAAAATGGCAGTTCCCGAACAGACCACA